CACCGGAAAGTCCTACTGCGCATCTAAACCAGGACAGTGGCCAAAGGAGGGTAGGGGGAAAACCCAAAAAACAAATGCCGTGTTCCTTTAATTATCCCTTACTGTCTTTATAGTCCTTCATTAAACAGCTATTTAATGAGCATTCACTGTTAACTAAAGCACCGCATTAATACATATTGTAAAGCTTTTTGGAGGATTCTCACAAGCTTCACGATCTTACTGGGTGCCCATAGTAATTACGCAAGATAGGAAGAATAAGTTCTATCATCCCTTAGAACTTATCTGTATTAAGTTCTTTACAGATAAAAAAAACTGAGCTTCAGAGAACTGAACTCACCTTCCCCAAGTTCCACAGGTAACAAGCTGCAAAGCTGGAGCTTGGACCTGAGGCTTACTCTGGGCCAGCTGTACCCTGCCCCCCCTCGCCATGACATCATAGGTCAAAACAACTTCCCTGCCTGTGCATCCCCAGGAAATGAAATCAGCTTGGCAATGGGCTATTGGTCAGGGAGATGGAAAATTTTAAGAAAGCCAAAAAGTTTAGCAAACTGAAGAACTCTCAGTCGTTGACCAATGGCCCAGCAAATGGGAAGGAATGCAGCTCAGCATCTGGTTTGCCTTCTAAGCAAGCAATGAGCCCACTTACCCACACGCCCAGCTCGGGCGCAGTTAATAACGAGGATCTATGGGGCAGCCAACAGGGTGCTTCCTCCCAGCTGCCGCGTGGAATCTGTAAAACCTCTGCTTTAGATGGGAAGGTGAAGCGGCATGAGGCTCTGTCCTGATCACTAAAGAAAACCAAAAAGCCTTTGGTGACCCAGTTAGTGGCTTCTAGGCCCCCTGCCACCTGTGGGAGCTGGGAGCTGAGCTGGGCTCTGCCCATTCATTCACGCTCATTCTGTCTGGTGTCTCCATCCGCCAGTGTCCCAAACACGAGGGCTTTCAAAAAGGCTCAGTCCCATCTTCTACCTCGTGCTCAGTCGTCATTTATTGGTGGCTCCCTGGTCTCTAACGTTTTCCTCTCCCCCTTCAGAGTTAACTCCGGCTGATTCGGCCACCACAGTTATATAGCTGGGTCTGCGTTTTATTTCTGTACAAAGAGGTTTGTGTCACTGTAATCATAATTCGCATTCAGAGAATACTTAGGGCTGAGAGGCCCATCGAGAGGCTGCTGCTTTCCTAAAATCAGCCACTTTCCCCCATCGAACTGTGAGAATGACAAACGGCCTCTGGGTACAACCCTCGCAAGGACCTGGTAGGAAAACAGCCTTGAAGAAGGTTATGGTGGCAATTTGTTTCCTGACCCCCGTGGGAAAGGCTGCCAAAACATCGAGTTTAGACCCAAATGAGAGTCAGCCACTTTGGCAGGAAGAAATCGGCTGCAGGAAAGTCGAGAACTGGAAAGAACCTTCAAAATCACCAAGAAGAGGGATTTTCAAGTGTATTTCTCCCAGTGGAACTGCTTTTAGCAGAACAAATCCACGCCGACTGACCAACATGGTCTCCCCCCATCTCCCCTCTTTCTCGAACCTGTGGCCCCTGAGCTTCCAGGGGCCACTCTTTGAAAACCTCTCTTGTGGGCCAACTTCCTCACTTTTCAGATAAGAAGATGGAGGTCCGGAGAGGCGAAGTGACCTGCTCGAAGGCCGACAGCAAGTGACAGGGACAGCGTGGTGTCCTAACAGGTTTCCTCCGCCGAGATGGAACTCAACAAAAAGAGGGACGGGGACGGCGTTCTGCTTCCTCTTTGGTCATTTGGAAGTTTGTGTGTTTTACGAGTGGGAACCTTCAGAGGATCATGGATTTGGTTCCTCTCCGGTTTGCTTCCTCCCTGTTAGTGGGCATTAGCATCTTTTCTCTCTTTTTTTTCCTCCTTGAATACAGGGAGGAACGGCCTTTCAAGGACACGCAGAATCATCCACCCCAAAGCCTTCTCCTTCATGAGTCACAAAATAAATTGACCTCCAGGGGCGGAGCCCAGGCCTTTGCAGATGATTGGGTGGGGGGCGCCCCTTACCTCTGGGTCCCCCCTGCCTTGCATGGGACTCCTCTCTACCCATGCCACCCTTGCTCAGGGATTTCTCTCGTATATGTCAAATAAAACGACACGAGCATGCACCTAAAATGTCAGTATCCAAGAGAACTGGAAGACCAGCCTGCTTCAAAAGCCATTCTGGAAGGCAGGCGTCCTTTTGACAAATGTTTTTAGACTGACTGCTCACTGTCCATCCATCACTAGTCCTTGTTTGCCTAGCAGGTCATTTATATGTGCCTAGAATCTCTGGGTAATGAGCATGCTGTAAAAATAAATGGAATAAATAAATTAGTGCTTGAACTTCTCAAATAAATCTGGTTGAATTAAACGCACCTAAAGCCGCTTAGTCTTGAAGAGCAAAGTGGAGACTGTAATGAAATAGGAAATAGGCTCTTTGCTTCAGGAAAAAAAAAACAAAAAGAGGGATGGAAAGTCACTCAAAAGGCATGAAAAAATTCTAGAAATAAAGGGAATCATACTCGCACAGTTAGTCATTGTTCTGCTTGAGGCATTGTCTTCCAGCGGCCTTTTCCCACGGCCTCAAGTCATGAGATTTGCATTCAGGTCTTTTCAAAAGTGGAGTCAGAAGGTAAGCTTCCACCTCCAAGAGTTACCCCTCAGAAAGAGGAAATGGCCCAAATTTTCACACCCTTACTGACTTTCCCAATATGAGGTTCATGTCCTTTGAATAACAAGGTTCTACTTCAGTTAAATACATGAGTTAGAAACACATACATACATGCACACACATGTATACACGTAGCCATTCTTTGTTGAGACCCCATAGCATACCAGGCACTGTTCAAAATCCTTTATTTGCATTAACTGTTTTTATCCTCACAACAACTCTATAAATCATGTACTGTTATTATCGTCCCCATTGTAATATGAAAAAACTGCTAATTTTAGATACTTTTAAAGGTCACCTGATGAAACTGCTTTTTTTAAGGGGCGAAGAAAGAAAAATGACCTAACGTTTAAAATGTATTGCACAATTAAGGTAAAGACTATTTAAAGCAGACATTTGACATCTGCACCTGTATACGTTTATATATTCAAGCCAGCCTCAATCACATTATTCTTTTCTCGATCTTTCAACTGGGAAGGTGAAGTATGACCTTGTAATTTGAGTAATTTTCTACTTGGGCATAGCCAATAATTACGGAGCACCTATTACGTATGGAAGACTGTCTTAGCAACTGCTGGGAAAACGGGCGATGCGTATCTGGCTGTTACCTTCCATCCAATCACAGTCAAGACTAACATGCACTCACACACATTTACTGACACTCACACGCTCGTGCTCACACTCACCCGCCCTTCCTCTTCCCAGGGCTGGGACTGGGGTGAGGTGAGTAAGGACTTTCAGACAGTGTGTGCCTCCTAGATGCCTCACTTGCCTTACCCCAGTCCAAGCCCTGTCACCTGCCATAATTAAATGCCAGAAAATAGAGCGCGGTCATGTATTCAAACGAACAGGCTATGGGGAGTGCACAACATCAGCAGGTGGTCGAAGCGAGAAGGGGGGGGTGTAGGCTCATCAGTGAATTCTGATTAACAAGCCAAGTTGCCAAGCCCGTGAGCCTGGAGCATGAACATGGTGAGGAAAAGGAAATGACTTCGTTGCAGGAAGACAGCTGAACAGGAAGAGCTCATTAAACTGGGTTTGATGGGCAGGAAGGAGAAAGCAGACGATTCCCCAGAGCAAAAGCAAGAATCTAAGGGCAGAAAGTGATGAGGTCTGCAAAGGAGACAGCCTCAACCACCCGCGTATTCCAGAACTGTCAGAGCCTCCAAAGCCTGATGCTACTGCCTTATCTCAGCAGGCAGGACGGCTCAGACACTCAGTCATTCAGCAAACCTTCACGGAGCGTCAATCATTCCACTGGGTGCTAGGCATGTGGTGACAAGTGCGAAGCACAGATAGGTCCCAGCTTCGCAGGGACAGATCCCAGGTGGGATCAACCGGATCTCGTCTGTCAGCGGTGTCTAGTTTGAAATCTCTTGTAGGAAGTCTTTCTCCATTTAACTGCACATTCACTATAATTCTGCTTCTCTTAATAACATACACATGCAATCTACCCTTTTCCTTAGAGCAAAACCCCACTTGCCAGAGTTATATAAGCTGAAGTCATTCTGAAATTAATAGCAGCCTCTGTAAAAATAAAAACTACTAAATATCTTCCTTGGAAAAGGCTAGGAGACGTGCGCTGAAACTTCAGGAGGTTCGAGCATTTTATTTTGGAATGAATGCTGCCTTTCCCGATGGCTAGAGGATGGGGCAGTTCACATGGGATTAACTCAAGACCATTTCTTGGCTGCCCCACATGAGGCTAGAAAGCTGTGCTTTGTCCTAAGTGGTGACAACAGGGAAATGTAATTTAACAGTCAACTTAACCGTGCAGTGGGGGTTAAAATATATAAAACTGATGGAAATTCATAGAAGCACAGGTTGTTCTTATATTGTCTATATATTGAGTGTATTTGAAAGAAAATATTACACCTCTTGATTTCATTCCCTGAAATTTATATTTCCATTGAAGGGATGTTCTATGAACTAGAAAAATAATTTAAGTGTCTTGCACATGTTCATAAATTCCTTTGTTTGCCGAATCCTCCAGCAGTGGTTCTCAAAGTGCTGCTCCTGGCGGGAGCCCACAGGCCTTCCTCACGGATTGCCCCCCCCAATTCCAAAGTTTGTTTTTAAATGCCTGAGTGAGAGTAACTCATTAATAGTTGCCTACATATGTTTTGCTAAATTTGGTATTTTTAGACTAACATGAATGCTTTTTAGAGTATAGAGAATTTACGCCCGGCTCCGGTTCAGTGTTTTACCGATTCAGGGTTTTACTGCAAGACTCCCAGTGCACACGTGTGGGTGCAGACAGTTGGACTCCGGATGTGGGGGAGGGATGCGGATTCATCACCAGTACTGCCCTGAGTGATTATAGTTTTTTGTTTTTACACTGTCTAAGTCTATGAAACGGCTTGTCTCATAGAGGAGAGAGTGCTGGGATAGGTTAGACTTTGTTGCTATAGCAAGTTTGGATTGTGTCAGACAGTTTTGATCATCTGCTACAGAATGTTGCTTGCAATGATGTTTTTTAATTGCTGCTCTTCTTGCTTCTTAATAGCAAATTATTGTTAGTTTTTCTTGTCATTATCAATTTAGTTTGTTGTGGGTTGTTTTTAACCCCACAGTATGTACTAATGAATATTTATGCTTTTTTTTAGGCTATAATTTTCCAAAACTACTCTATCATGTATGCACTGTGCTCAAGTATGAATCATCCACATCCTTATTACTAAAGCAGATGTATACATATATTTCCCTATAATTTGCTAATGTGAGAGCATTTTTCTAGTAATGTGCGCAGTGCATGGAATTTTAGCATGCCAATTACTTAAAATCTACCAATAAGGAAAAGTCTAACACAAGTATTAAATTGTTTTACATTTGCATCACAGTGTTTTAAAATACAGATGCAAACATGAGCTGATGGTTTAATCTTACTACATACATTATAAGCACTAATGTTTTTTTGTTTTTGTTTTTTTGCCAGATTTTGATTATCGGGGGTAAGTCAAAACTGTGAATCATTACTCAAGGTCAATATTCCCCAATCTGTGTTCTACCAGATGTTAATAGGCGTTCTGCAAATAATGGCTTCTTTACTCAGATAAATTGGGAGGCAGGGAAATGTATTGTGTTCCCGTTTTAGAGATCGGCAAGGACCTTTAGCACATTGTGGTACTTAGTTTTATGTGTCAGCTGGGATAGGTAGGCCACAACACCCAAGTACTTGGTCAAACATTAGTCTAGATGTTGCTGTGAAGGTATTTTTTAGAGATTAACACGTAAACCAGTAGACTTTAAGTAAAGTAGATTGTTCTCCATAGTGCGCCAGGGCCTAGTCAATCAGCTGAAGGTCCTAAGACAGAAGACTGACCTGCCCGGAGGAAGAGGGACCTGCCTGTGCTGCCTCTGGGCCCAAGCGGTCACATCAGCTCCCCCTGGGCCAGCAGCCCCCTGACCGGCTTTGAAGACTTTGCATTTACCAGCCTCTGCAATGACGCGAGCCAATTCCTTAAAAGAAACCTCTATAGATGACAGATACACAGACATAAAACACAGATACATAAATACATAGCTATAAGATATACTATGTACGATATATGTATATATGATATAAAATGTATAGACATACATCCTATATCTCATGTATACATATAGGAGGGGGATATACACACACACATCCTATCAGTTCTGCTTCTCAAAAACTAAGACCTATGTGAAAGCTCGGAGATGTTGTGCAATTTAAAACACTACCTGAACTATTTTTCCAGTTTACTTAACCACAAAACATTTTTTCATGGAACCCCTCCTAGTATGTCAGAATACAGCTTGGAAAATGCTTTTCTCAAGACTGTACATAGAGGCTGACCTCTACCCTACATCAGCAACATCGGACTCTAAGTCCACCTGATTCAGAAACTGATAACAGAAGTTTCGGAACAAAAGATTTCACGTGTCCTTTTCTCTGCACAAGGCGTAGGCAGAGGGAAATAACCCCGTGTTATGCAAGCACAATGAGCTAAAATGTCCACTGTGGAGCAGGTCCCACACGTGGTGATGTCTGATGAAAATATGTTCCGGTGAAATAGCCCCCATACTGTGCTTTTGTAAAACGTCCCTTTGTAGATATTCTTGGTGACTGGAGAGTCATACTGAAATGTCATCCACTGCTGGGTGACACAGCACAAGGCAATGCAGGAATGGCAGGGGGCCGAACAAGAAAGGGCGGCTCTATCTCCTCAAAGGCCTCCTTTGTCTCCCATTGTTCCCTCTCCAATGTGTCCCTTCACGTGGTCCTCCCTGGTCCCAATTTATCCTTCAGATCTAATCCTGGAAGCCACTTCCGCCAAGAAGCCTTTCTTTTCCGACTACCTCCCCACCCTCAACCCACCAGGTCAGCCCATCTCTTCCCTGTTAAACGCATTCAAACACCAGGTACCTCTCTCGGCATTGGATGTAAACATCGCTTAGTTAGTAATACCTGTCTCTCCTACCAGGCTGGGAGGCCCACGAGGACAGGGGATGTTCCCAGCTCACTTGTCTGTGCAGCCCCAGCACCTGGCGATCAGTGGGAACTCTGAGTGAAGGATGAGGTGATTGAAGGGGAACTTTTCTCCCCCCAATTTTCCTCATGATTCTATGTAAATTGTTCTTTCTTTGTAGCCAAACCTGAGTACTTTTCTCTACTTTGATCTCTCTCTTGAAGATCTTCACTCTTTCAGCCTCAAAAAATATCTATGCCAAGTGTCCATGAAATGTTCATATATGAGTATGTGTGTATGTACATATGAGGTCTGTCCGGTAAAAATCCATCCATTTTCAATATAATGAGAACGGTTTGCACAACATCAGTGTAACCTGGCAGCCAAGGAGAGTGGACTGGAATGCACATGCTTGAACAATGACCACTTCACTATACTAGTCAGTGGGGTGGCAGATGCCATTGAGTGAACATGTGTACCATGTGGACATCACATTCAAAATGGCTGAGCAAGCAAAGCAACAAATCCGCATCAGATTTCGTGTTAAGCTTGAACATTCCTCCACAGAAGCAATTTGGATGATTCAGAAGAGCACGGCTCTGGGCAACTGCTGTTTGGCAGCTTCATCATGACAATGCACCTGCTCATGCATCACAACCCATTCAGAGTTTTTTGGCAAAATGTCAGATCACCCAGGTGACTCAGTCCCCCTACACCCTAGATTTGGTGCCCTGTGACTTCTGGCTTTTCTCAAAACTGAAGTCACCTTTGAAAGGGAAAAGATTTCAGACCATCAATGAGATTCAGGTAAATACAACAGGGCAGCTGATGGTGACTGGGAGAACTGTGTGAGTCCCAAGGTGCCTAGTTGGAAGGGGACTGCAGCATGATTGTCCTACGGACAATGTTTCTTGTATCCCCTTCAATAAATGTCTCTATTTTTCATAGTGCATGGCTGGATACTTTCTGGACATTGTTCATATGTGTATGTACACGTGTGCATGCTCACACGCATCTGTACACACATCCACGTGCAAATAATAACAATCATTTATTAAGCACAACTGTGCGAAGAGAGATGGGGCAGGGGGCAGTAGGTATGTGAAAAGGAAAGACAGATTCCAATCACAGCTGTACCATTTTTGGGCGGGGGGGCGGGGGGTCAAGTATAATCGTGCAGGTTTCAAACCTGTGAAAAGAAAAGCAGGCGCTCAGTCTGATCCCAGGATCGGCGCCCCCTACCCTGCCGCAGGTGCCAGTTACCCAGCCCCGGTGCTGCATTTCGGTGTGTAGCTGAAACGGGTTTCTCTTCCAAGAATTATCACTGGAAACAAAGGTGCTAAAAAAAATAAGGCATTGGCAGACAGACAGGCTTTCACTTCAGGAAACCTGGCCGAGTATTTGGCGGGGGGTGGTGGGGGGGGCCGGGGGGGATATGTATGTAAAAAGTGAAGGTCAGGGCGGCACCCAGGGGTCACCAGGTCTGGCTCCACACCCTCTCTGTGCACCCTCCCACATCCTCTCTGGACTCTCAGCTACTCACGCTCAGTCCCCCTTGGCAGGGAGGGGCCCAGAAGGCAGAGATCTGGGAGCTGACACAGGCTCACCCTCTCCTCCCCGCCTTACCCCCAGAGGCTGGAAAAGGTGCCACCCACACAGTCATCTGAGGGAGTTGCCAAAGTGGGTCCTTCCCGGACAAGAGGCACATCCAGGGCTCTCTCACAACCCCTTCCCCTTCGCCCTGGTCCCCATTAAAGAGCTAAAGAGAAGTTGCTTCCAACCCAGTCGTGGCGTGGAAGAAGACCTAAGGTACAGAGAAGGCAAGGCATCTCTAGCTGATAGAAAAACTCAAGAGCAAGCAGGTCTCTAACCGTGAGCCTCTTTCCACACCACTACTCGGGACCAGGAAAATCTATACCAGAATTTCTAAGATATGCTAAATACATTTTCACATGTTCAAAATCTGGGCTCCCTATTACAAAGCTTCGTTTTTTGGTAAAAGAAATGGGTATTGAATCACAATACTTTAATATTCGCTTTAAAAGCATTGTTCACGGAGAGCCGGAACATGCTCACCCAGCATCCAGGCTTATTAGATCATCAACAACCCTTTAATGAGGATGAGGCCACCGCCAACCTGAATTGAAATTCCTTGATGTGATCCAGACTTACTCAAAGACAGGATGCTTTGAGCAAAAACAACTCTCCAAGACAAATTCCTTCCCATCGATGAGAACATTTATTGAAGGAAGGGTACCTCTCCAGACTTAGAGCCGAGGCGGGTCCCAGTGCCTTTCGCTACACAAGCATGAAGCTGCTCTGCTCGGCACGAGATGGTCCCCCTGGGGCCGGACATGCACAGCGTCATTTCTAAACAGTGGAAGGTAAAGGCAGGGCTCCCAGAAGCCACAAAATCCCAACTTTGTAAAAATATGCTTGGGTTTACTCGTTATGAATGAGTTCTTCACCTCCTCAGAGGCACCACTTGGAGGTTACCTCCACATATAATCTTTGGCTTTTAAAATCCTTCAGAGCTCCTTATTGCTTTATTACCTTAGTCTATTAAAATCCTAAGAGTAGCTACTGATGAAAATTCCAGTCATTTTTTTTTAAATCTCTGTGGAGAGGGGGAAAAGAAAAGTCAACGCATGAGTCTATTTGAAATCGTTTTATGAATTTTAATCATAGCAAATGTATTTTAACAGTAGTCATAAAATCAACATTACCACATATACAAAGGACAAGACACCAGTTTGGCATACAAAAATACCATATATTAAAATTGAGTTCATCGGAAAAACTCAGGACTTGCTAAGACACCATCTACAACAGAGAGAGCAAGCAAGAATGCTTTTAAGACATTCAGATTTATAAACAGCAGCTTGATATCCCCCTTATGAAGTCAGTATTTGGCAACGTTTAGACAGTATTTTCTACACAGCCCAGCAGCTCATTTATCTGCAGGGTGATCCAACCCTTTAAAAGAAAAGCTCCTAAAATAAATAATCCCAATAATTGTAAATGAAACCTGTCACAGACTTGAGTGAACGGCCTCTGAGCAGCATTAATCTAGCCATCTGACTGGAGTATTAGTTACAGAGAGGGGCCAGGCAACCCACCGGTGCAGCCGTGAGGGCAGTAACCCCGCGCAGTAGCTGCGTGGCTTATGCGGGAGTTCAAACCCACCCCAGGCTGAAACCAGCCTCCCCACCTGCACCTGTCAAGTGAGGCAAACAGGAACAAGTGACAGAAGAAAAAAAAAGAGAGTAAAGGTCAACAACCAGGATAGAAACCTAAATATTCTTGAATGCATCTTTCCAATACTACTAACCTCTTCAAACCAAGACACATCCCTAGGTACAGGCATTGCGTCCCACAGCCGAGGGTGTGAGCAGTCTGTCTGTGACTCAGCAACCAACTCTAGAGCAGGCTCCGAGATTGCCCAGGGTGCTGGCCACACAGGGGCCTCCTTGGACCCTCTCATCTGCTGAGCACATTCAATGTAAACATCATCAATTGAATCTGGTAGGCCACACTGAAGTGACAAATTGTGCTTGGCCATTGTTCCCAGCTGTCGTGCTTCAGCTGGTTTCTGCCATGACCGACCTCCAGCTCCTACCCAGTTTGCTTTGGAGCTATAATCCCATTACAGGTTTCTTTCCCTTTTACGCCAGTCTTTTCTCACCCTGGGCAGACCTGTTCATCTTTTGCCATAGGCCTGAGGCCACGTCTCCACCTTTCCCACACAGGACCTACTCAATAATGGGACTGTACCTCAGCCAGAAAACCCATACAGGAACTGTCTGAAGTAAGTGTGAGAGACCAGCTCATCCATCCTCCCACTGTTTAAACAGAGATGACATAAATACAACTTGGTTCCCTTTGAGAGGCATTTGCTTCATCTGTTTCCTTCCTCTTACAGACCAGTTCCTTCACCACCATCGGTCATATCCGATCTTCTACTCCCAGATTCTCAAAAAGCCAATGTCAAGTTAAAAACGGAGCATACCTTTGGAAAACTCTTGTTAGAGTAGCCCAGTAACTCACACCCTAGGGAGACCACAGAAGACTTGCTCGTGGGCTACTAGCTACATCCAGGGTGATGAAGTTAGGGTGGTATTCTAGAAGAACAGGGATAGCTATAGAAAACACCCCCAGAAAAACAAGGAAAATACATGCTGTTGCAGACTTCAAGAGACCCCTCAGTACTTTGCTACAAATATTACTGATTGTCCCTAAAAGGATTCATAATATGAATAGTATCAAAAACCTTAGACGAGAATAAGAAAGTCTAGCTAACAAGATGAATGTTTTCAAGCACCACTACACCATAAGTGAGATATACATAGAGGGATACACCCCAGGCAGTAAATCCTGAAGAGAAAAAAAAAAAAGAAAAAGAAAAAAGTTCATTGGCTCAACTGTGCAAGGAAACTTGTATAGAAAAACCAGAGCCATATTCCAAGAGCTCAGGAAAAATGGTGCTCTACCCATGACCACTTGAGCAGGGCCAAACAGGAAGCCATTTGGAAGACAAATTAAATACCCCACCTGCTTATGTTCTTCAACCATCAATAACTTTCCAAGAAAATGTATGCAGAACCCACCTCTTCATATATTTGAAAAGTCTCAAGAGTTTATAGTTATATACACATTCACAAAGGTGGATGGTTTGCCATAACGGGTGCAGCCAACAGAATTTGTTAACATATTAACATCTAAGTTCAGCATCACATAACCCACACATTGGAAAACATGACCAATAACATCTTTATTTAACTCATTACTACTAAATCATGTATCTACACATATATCTATACCTACATGTGAATCAATTGTCAGGAAAAAAAAAATCAATGGCTTGAATATCCCCTTATTTTTAAGAAGTGTTTCGTGTTTAACGAAATTCAACAACTGATCATCATCCCTTTTCAAATAGACTACGATTTTCAAAACAGCTGCAGAATTATCATGGCGACCTCCTTCTCTGGAGTCTGCCTTGGCGAGGGCTATCTGGTGGGTAACGTGTTGCTGTGAATAGCAGGGGCGGAAGGGAGCAGCTCCTTTCTTGCAGGCCAGGGATGTCAGAGCAGCTGATGACTCATCTTGTGTGCAAACGAAATGCGGACAGGTTAGCAGCATTGTTTTTCTCAGAGAAGACAGAAATTCAAATCTTTTGCAGATGACTCCTCTCATACCAATAACTTTGGAGCTCCAACTTCCTTGTAGTCTAAAGAAAAACTATCATTTTGGCAAAAATAAAAGTTTTTTTAGTGATTTTTAAAAACAAGCTAAAAAAGAACAGACAACACCCGTTGAGTTTTGGTGCGGGGAGGAGGAAGCAACTCAATTCTGCTAAATGAAGCAAATGCATTTGGTTTACATTGTATTTGAAAACAACGAAAAGCAGACTAACCAATTTTGACACAGCATGGGTTTTCAAATCAAGCTATGGGAACTCTTTAAAATCAAAATTTAGACTGGAACAAATGCTGCACTCTCAGGAAGAGTCTGATCTTTCTATGAATATATATCACACACTGATTTTTCTGCTTCCATTTACCCACTTAAGAAGCAATTTTAGTAACTTCCAGGGGCAGTGCTTTTTAATGTTTAAAAAAAAAAAAAAGGACCAGCGCCAGGCTGCAGTTCTTCAGTTCTTTCAGTGATAATGAAAATTAAAAACACCAAATAAGGCTAAAAACAATGTCAAATGTGACTAAAAATAGTACCTATGTTATAGTCTGGCAAATGAAAAATGACGCTCACATAGGCCCGCACCACCGCGGCAGGCTGGCAGACTTCAAGGGCAAACAGAAACATGCTCCGTGAGCGGTGTGAGCCGTGCTTGCTCTCCCGCCCCACACCCTACTCACGCAGCGGCGAGGTCTGGGTAAGATGTGGGAGGCGAAGAGGATTTCATCAGGCTTTTTTTTTTTCTATAACATTTACTTTTTGGCCACAAAACCCTAAACACATTTTCACAGTTACAGGTCATGCATAACTTGCAAGTCAAAGGTTTTACAACTACTGTCTAACTACTATTTTTGGACAACAGATTCACATGCAGCTAATCATCCCAAAAGACGGGGCTTCGATAGCACTCTTTAAGCTTCACCATCATTCCTTGACCCAAAATATCTAAGGAATAACTCCAAAGGGCAGTCAATGAATTTTTACTGTCGTATTTGAGATCATATACTTTATAAGCCCAGAAAGGTTTTCTTTGTTTTTGTTTTCTTCTTAGCCAGCTGCATGTTACTCCTAAACCACCAACCGTCTTCTTAGCCTGACTCTGCTACTCCTAACGCTTTGATGCTAGACACCATTGCACAACCATCCAGAACTGTGGCCAGTGTGTTAGCCACAAAGCAGGAGCCACTAAATTTAAATAACTTAAAATAAAATAATACAACACAAAATCCAGTTATTTAGGCAAACTGACCCCATTTCAACCACCTGATGTTGGACCGCAGAGGTTATATAACATTTCCATAGTCACGAAAAGTTCGATTGACCTGCACCAACCTGGGCAGTCCGGCGGCTGCACCCCCATCAGCTTGACCTTCAAGGGGTCCGCTCTTCAGTCATGTGCGAGAGTGAACTTAATTATATATTTAAAGAAAACACTTGATAGCTCTCTGATCACACAGTATGACTGGAACTGATAACTGATTTGCCTTTTCATTACAACTTATGCCCCAGGTCACTGTACAGAAATTTTCCAAAGACAATGCTTTGTGACAGCCTATTTGGCTCTATTTAACACAGTAAGCATTCTCTTGCTTATGTCAAGGTCATTAATAAAGATGAAAATTCATGCTTCTTATAGTTTACTATTTACACAACACTCATTGTCCTTTATACAGAAGGGGCAGAGGGTAGGGGAACCAATGGTTTGCAATTTTTAAAAATTCACATCCCATGGTTTTCTTCCAACGTCCATACTCACCCCTAAATCAACCCTCCGTTGATCTCTCAGAGAGGTAGATGCTAACTAAAAAATGAATATATGAATCTACAAAAGAAAGAAAAAACTTGAAAGCAAGAGTTGAGTTCGTAAAGGGCACTCATCCACCCTGAAAAGAGTCACGCAGAGCCCACCGGAGAATTCGAGAGGCCTGGGACGGAGGAGAGGAAAGCGCCGCGCTTGTCAGCCTTCGCTGGGGAAGTCCAAGCTGCCGCGTGACTCTGCCGCTCTGTGGGTCTTGGTGCCATCCTCAAAATGGAGCCACCCGAGGTTGCTTTCCACTCTGACTTTCTGTGCTTTCCGTTGTGAAATTTTCTCACTGATGTGCAACTGTGAATTCTGGCCGATTGTGTCACTGGGCTTTGGTCACTGGGGTAGATGAGCTGTTAGTGCCATGGGCTAACGCCAGAACAGTCCAGAGCAATGGGATGCGGAATCCGTTAAAACATCAAGTCTCTAAAAATTCTATCAGGCAGGCTGAGCCATCACACACACACACACACACACACACAAACCCTGAACAAACAGGTGCGCAAGTGACTGTAGGCAGAATTCCCTCAAACAGTATTTCTTATGCCAGTAACACTCACGCAGAAAATTCTGATTTGGTTGTTACTGTTATGCTAGGTTGTAAAGTCAAGATTCTATCACAGAGGTGACTGATTTTGCACTGCTTAATTGCAACTCTAGCATCAGATTGTTTTTAAAAGTTACATGAATGTTTTTACTCAGTATTTTTACACTAAGAAACACAGGGCGCTGGACTGTCATACACGTTAGTGTCTGTATGTAACCTACTTAACACATAGAAGTCTATCAAATACTACACTACACGGCTGGTCATTTCTTACTGTACATAAACATATGCAGATATCATTTACAAAATGAACTGGAACATGGCATGGCTTAAAATTGCGAGGGCAAAGTCCATCTGAAATATAGCGTTCTTAACGCAACATTTCTGTGAGTTTGGGTTCCCCCCACCCCCGAGAGGAATAGAAATTAGGTCAGACATGCAGTACAGCAGCCTGGCTGAGTCTGAGAAATTGACACTAACCCAACAGTATATTGTGTTACGTAATAGAGGACAGCATTCAGCTAATGTGATACCTAAATTATTAATACAAAAAAAAAATCCTAGATTTGTTGTATAATACCCAATAGCTTACACAATAAAATGGCATTTTAACCTAATTTCTAGCTTGAGCTTTCAAATATATTTCCTAAAGGTCTTAAGAAAAAAAATGTGAAAGATTTGAAAAACCCGAGTTCATATTTTTATATTGAATCTCCACAACAATGAACAGTGTTAGCTTTGGATTCTGGTCATTATACTGTCATTTTATCTCACACAATTACCATCACTTTACTCTGCATATTTTGTGCTGCTTGAAGGTAATAGTTAGCATGTAAGTAAATTAAATTGTCTCCATCATACAGGGTTACTTGAGCCTTGCTTTTTGGAACCAGTTACTGCTTATCTTTCTTTCCCCTAGTTTCACAGATTCAATGGAACATAAACATTTATTTGCGAGGAGTCTGTCACATAGCACTTGCTCCAGGAATTCCAAAAAGAAATCAAAAAAAGAGCTGTAAGCACAGCGATTTGTCATTTAATTCTAGCAGATCTTTCTTCCTGAGCGTCCCAAGACCTTCACACACTGAAGCATATTTAGGAATTTAGGAGGAACTGGTCCATTTAAATTGAGAATGTAAGTTGTTGGTTTACCTTGCCACTTTTCTCAAGAAAAACATATGTCAAAATACAAGAGATTGCCTTACTTATACAGCAAGATGGAACTGGAATTCTGAATGGGTTAACTCTCATGGAACAATAATTTCTTTCAAAAAATAACTGTGGACTGTCTGCTGAAATGCCAGCCCAGGTCTGACATTGGTTCACAACACTCACTGCCAGTATAATCCCCCAAACTGGGGACAAAAGACAAGATTCTGCTTCTCTCCATTTGTGCCTTGCAGAATACAGGACTTGACCACAACACAGAAGAGGAGCTAGTGTGGGAAAGGAAAAGCATGGAACACCTCACCGGTGGGTCTGGGCGCTCGGGAGGTGGCCACTGTTTCAGACCCTGGACTCGCTCATGCCCACCAAGTCCTCCTACTGGGATTCTCCTGACAAGATCCAAAACCTGAGGCAAATCAAATTATACACACATACACATACACACATACAAATGCTCACTATTTACATTTAAAATCCTTGTTTTGTGAGATGGCTTGAGAAAAATTGGCATATAGTTTTCCTGTGGGATGAGGCATTTCCCATCATTACTCAGTTTACTGCTCCCCTGTTGGGCTTTCAATTTAATAAGCACGTATCAAGCTCTAATTACAAGGGAAGGAAAATGAAGGTACGTGATAAAACACAAAACATTGGAAACACTTGTTCAAATATTTCCTTCAAAAAATGACGGTCCACTTAACTTGTCGTAATTTGGGTGCCATTCAAAAAGTATAAAAGGCCTTGGCAACTGAATGAAGACTGGGTTTCATTTTTAAAAAGGAATCAAACCAGCTCTGTGTATTGTCGCTGAATTTGTACGTGGATTCTCAGGTTTAATTCTACTTGTATACATAGCATCTTTGTTTTAATCTACCACATTTAGAGAAGATCACATTGTATGCACTTGCACAGTTTAACGTCTATGTAGAATAGGTCTATCTTGTCACATGATTTTGGAAAATCATAAATTACAATCCATTTAATAAGTGACTATGAGGATGCATGCAATCGTCTTCGAGCTGCTGCCACCGATGCTCAGAGCCATCTGCCTGGCCTCTCCTTGAGACCCCACATTTCTGTCCTCCATGTTTGTCTTGCATTAGTCAAGTGGCAGCCCAAAGGCCAGCCCTCGGCACCAAACGATCAGCGTTGCCCCATCATCTCCCCGCAGTCCAATCACCAACACCTGCTCAACCCCTGGTTGGCACCCACAAGAGACGTCCCTGACGCCCTCTTCAGCCACAGGATATCACAGTGAAGCGCTTAGAAATGCAAGACATGTTGTGGAGCACGATGCCCAGGAGGAAGACCAGGACACAGGCCACCAGGATCACAGTGCACACCCCGGACCAGGTGGAGCTTTTCACTGCACCCCGCCTGTCTGGCTCCTCCTCCACGGCCTCCTGGGGAGGCCCGCCCTGCAGAGGCTGCTGCTCCGCAGGGACGGTCACCACGGTGACAGACTTCTGCTGGCTCCCAGGCAGCAGGCGGCAGCCCATGTCTCCGGGCAGCAGCGCTCGCTCCTTGGAGATGGGCAGGGGCAGCATGTAGCACCCGTTGCTGGGAAGTTTGATGAAGACCGGGGTGTGCTCGGAGGCGTGCGGGATGGCAATGACGGCAAGGACCTCAGGGTCATCAGGCAGCTGCGACACGGAGAGGCCCGGGGGCAGCTTGGTGATGCCCCGGCACCACGGGCACCTCACGTCCTTCTGGCTGGTCCTCATCTGCTGAAGGCACACGGAGCAGCAGGTGTGCTTGCAGTCCAGGAGCTTGGGCCTTCGCCGGGGGCTGTAATAATTGAAACAGATCTGACATTCCAGCAGAGAATCTTGGGAGAGTGTCTCCATCGTGAACTGGGAGCAGGGAGGTCAAGGCCAAGGGGAAGAATCTTGTTCTCAGAGGCCACCACTCCGGCACCTTCCTTCTTCGAGTCTTCCCAAAGTCGCGAGGTGATGAGGAAGCTCACAGGCATCGAGCAAGCTCAGGTGGGTTCATTTCTGAAGGAGACAAAAATGCACACGGAGTTAATTATTTCAAACAAGCTGAGACATCAGCATATCTGATGGATTTACGCCACTGCTCAAGAGCCTTGACAGTAGGTCAAAAGCATAAAAATTTCCCACCCGTGAGACTGCAGGATTCCTGTTACGTCCAGTGGCAGGTGAATGACTTGTCTCAGATGGCTTGACATGGTGAATACTTTGTTCGTTTCTACAGAATCCAATACCTCTGGTGTGTATGGATACACAACGCCCCACATTTCGTAAAAGGACCGGTCAGTTGTTTGTTTTGTACACTGCAGTGGACCTGGATTATTCTCCCAATACACCGGAGAAATTCTCGTTTCCACTAAGTTTGTAGCATTTTCTAAAAGTAAACTTCTTTCGATCTCCTCACTCTCTTTCCCTGACCCTACTTGCCCTCCCGTAGGTGGTCACGGCCGCATGCAAGCAGCTTTACAATGCAGGCGCCTCCTGTAACTGAGCTGCCGCTTTCGAAGGGTCAGGACTGTCCCTCTCTCCTAGGCCATCAGGATGAGGCCGAGAGAGCACATGCCGGCCTGTTTCTTTTTTCACCCAACCATCTGAACCAAGGCCATTCTTGTCCATTGATTTTAAGAAAGACAAAAACAAAACAAGACCCCAAAAAATAAGACAATACCACTACCTGAACCACCAGCGGCCATGAACCTTGAGGCGGCTGGGGTCCCAAAGGCACACAGCATCAGGAATAGCACTCAGGCAGTTTATTAAGTTCATTCCTACTTAGGCTCGTGCCCCGTAACGTGACCACAGGCAAAGACCATTCTAATCAGGTGAAACGTTGTCAGAAGACCAGCATGCACGCAGCCTTCACCGCTGACCCCCCAAAAGCACAGCGTTAGCTTCCTGGTATGGACCAGCTGCAGGGTGACTCAGCACAACTCACTCGGGGCTGGAGGGACCCCTCGGAGCTCCAGCAGCGTTCACAAAGGCTGCCCGGCTCTGGTTCCTACTGAAAGCCTCCAAATCATGTGTCTCTGGATGGAGCCATGATGACTCTGGAAAGAACTGTTTGACCACAGATTGTAGCAATAATTGCTAGTCCTAGAACCCCAGCCACACCCAGAGGCGGGAGCTAAAGACAAGGAAAATCTCTTCCACATTCTTCTGAAGAAGGAAAGCTTCTTTCCCTAACTTCCTTCGTGAAATTAAGAATGCACACTCGCTCGTGTTAAAGTCAAAATTAAGAACACAGAAAAAGCATGAAGTAAAGAACAATTGCTGATAAAAATTAACAGTGACAATCAAGAGAGCAATATATTTTGAAAATCCTTTGGCTGTATATTAAATTATTAAAAGTAAAATATAATAACATAGCATTAAGAAAGTTCACATCATAATCAATTATTTATCTAGCCACTACTTCAAGAAATGTTTATTGAATAATTAAAATCTGCTCAGAGTAGAACTTGAATATTCTCATCTAAAAGAAAAAAAGAATATAAACATGTGAAGTGATGCATATGTGATCAGTGGGGGGAATCCTTTCCCAAAGCATGCATTTACCATGTCGCGATGATGGACAAGTAAGACAAATATCTTACTTGTCAACTATGCCTCAATCAAGGTGAAAAAAATAAAGTATCTATCAAGTATCTATCATGCACAAATCCAGCTACTGTAGGATATGAAGAAGAATCAGACCCAAATCCTACCCTGAAGCAATTTACAGTTAGGTAAGAATGAATGTGTATTTTTTTCTCTTCCATTCATTTATTCATTCCAATGTTCACTGCATAGCTACCATGTGTCAATCATTACAGTATTTACTTTTGTTCCTTGTGGCTAAGGCCTTGTCACTGCCCATAAGAAACTCCCAGCCTAGAAGGACTCACACAGTGATACATGCAAAGTGATATGTGACACACAGGAGCTGAAGGAATCAGGGACAGCTCAGTGACAAATCTGGACGATGGGGAGGATGTAGACATGTCCAAGCAGAGGACGGGTTATTGCCAGGCCAGAGATCAGCCTGAGAGGAGGAAAGGCAGTGAGCTATCACAGAATTCTCTCTAGACTGTGGCTGTGACACAGACTACAGGTTTTTTCTAACAAGAGTCACCTAGAGGCCCAACCCCTAACAGTTTCACAGTTTTAGCTCTTACATGTAGGTTTTTGATATGGATACCCACAGGCCCAGCCAGGGGCAGCAGGTAAGAGAGGGAAGAGATGAGTAAAGCCAGCAACAGGTTAAGGGCCACAGACCATCGACAGTGGACAGCCTCAAGCACCAGGCCAAGGCCGCAGGGCCCTCGTGGGGCCTTCTGCTGAGCGACGGGAAAACACCAGCAAGGTTAGGAGCGTGAGAATGGCTCATCAAGTAGCTGTATTCAGGCTAGATTCGAAAGACCTGCTGGGGCGCTGTTCTAACATTAGACGAGAGTAATGAGTAGCTGAAGTAAACAGTGGCAATTAGCGTGAAGAGAGGCAGACTGTTGAGCAGTCTTACAGGAGTCAAGTGGGATCAGCTGTGGCTTCTGGTGAACCTGTAAGAGGGAAGGAGTCAAGCGAGGTCTTGAGAGGAGGCCGCGATCATTGTGAAAAACGGGGGTCCCCAAGACAAAGACGAGTTCTGCGGCCATATTCCATCTGAGGTGCTCGAAGAGACAAGAAATACGTTCTTCAGAGCAATATTACAGAGTCAAAAAGAAGCTGAAAATGTGAGGCTGATATTGCAGAGGAAAGTCAGGACTAGACCCAAGAGACCAGGCAACATCCACAGAGAAGAGACATCAGCCAGAGACAGGCAAAAGAGAACAGAGAAGACCTCGGGGAAAACCTCTATTTAAGCCCAGTCAAAAAGGAAACTGGAGGCAAAGTAAGAGGAAACTCATCACTATGTCCCAGGTGAAGAGTTCTGAGAGTGAACGTTGAGGAAAGGCCTTGGGGATCGGTGACCAGGAAGCAGCTAGTACTGCTAAGTGGTTTCGGCAGGTGTGAGGGTGGAGCCTGGCGGAGCTGCTGGAATATAAGAACGAGAGCCCCAGATGGGCAGTGTGAGGGCCAGGGGTAGCTTAAAGGGAGGACAATCAAGAAACGCTTCTTTTTATCCTCAGAATAGAGAAATCTGAGCCAAGAGGGGCAGAGGAGGCAAACTCGGGTGCTCCAAGCCAGAGAGATGTCAGGGGTATGCTGTCCAGCACAGTGACCACCAGCCCCAGGAGCAAGCAAAAGCAGTGAGCGGAGCTTAGAAATGGGAACGCGTATGGGCAGCCACAGTGGGGAATGGGGACTGGAATAGGGTTGCCCAATGTGTTAGTGACCAGGGTAGATTTCTTCTAACTTTATAGTTCCATGGTCCTGAATTTATTTTTTCTTAACGAAAACACAGGGTTTCCTGGCCAATACTGGCAAATTCTCTCTCATCTATCTTTACCATTTAAACCCATTGATATTATAAACCACAGGGAGACAGCATGTGTCCGGCCGGCATGGAAGGATTGATCTCTCGGAGCTAGAAATGACAGCATCAGGGAAGGACAGTTGAAAAAAGCACAGATTGCTGCAACTTTAAGAATTTGGAGAGAGCCTTCCTCAACCATGGCCCCTGAGGACAGCCACCCTCAACACAGATGGAGTTGAGGACAATGTTTCCTGACACTGATTTCTTTCTTAACCTTCCTTTTGTCCCCTATTATTTACTTTTCTTTCTTAGGAAAATGCAGGCAGAATGGGGGGCTTTGGCCTCAGAGAATCTTGGGTCAAACCCCTGCTGTCACACAGGAGAAAGTCACTTAACTCCTCAGGACCTGCTTCCTCCCTGGTCAGATGGGGAGGATGGAGTTGTGGCTGAAGGTCAAGTGAGTTCAGAGTCCGCGTGGAGCCAGACAGTGAAGGACTGGGTGCCAGTTCCCTCCTTCCTCCCAAGTGTCCCCACGGTCCTGTGTGTGACCTGCCCAGAGGCACTCCCCGGCTCTCCAAGAACTGCCATTTTGAACAGCTTGGAAGGAATGTAGTGTTCTCCTTGGCCCTGCCCCAAGACCTGCCACACCATTTTTTTTCCTTCAACAAAACCAACATGCAATTTTCCTCATGAATTTATGTTCCAAGTAATGCTCACTTAATTGCTGTTGAGCTCCCTTCAAATTAGAGCATATTACTCAAATTTCCAACTCCATCCGAGGAAGCTCTAGGCCTTACCGCACAGGCTGAGCACAAAGGGGAGGCTGCTCGGCACTCGGCCACTCAAGCCATTTTGGCGGCAGCCGCTCTGATTTATACACCGGCCTGTTCACAACGAAGCCAACCTGCACTGCATTCCGGTTACCTTTCTCGAGTACAGCTAGGCACGATGGTGATGCGTGAGGTAAAGAGAGGAAAATTTATGAGGCTGCCGACCACCGGAGCTAATGAGGAATCATTCTTTCTCCCTTTCATCATAAACTCAAAATGTGTGAATAAACTACATTAGAAAGAGAATGGAAACAAGGGCCACACGCTGGCTCGAAAGAAAACCCAGAAACCCTGGCCAAACGCAGGAGCGTGCGCTGGTGACTGTTTGGCCAGATCAGATGCTCCAACACTCCTTACATTTAAAAGGACGGGGTACCCCTGCTAGGGTGCCTAAGAACAAGTATATACTGAAATATACTGGGACAATTTTCAATGTCACCACAGCCTATGTTGAAAGAATCTACAGCAAAGATCAAAGAGAAAAACAGGCCACAAAAAGGGAGGGCATTCTCAAAATAATTACGGCTTACAGGGTAGGACTTACGCTCAAAGACATCTTCATAAAACGGTACTTGGTTTCATATATAATATCAGTTGTACCATATGCAGATAAAAGGCCTTGAGTAATCATTAAACTCAATACTAACGCATGCCTTGGTTTTAAAATACTTTAAAAAATGACCTGAGATGTTTGTACGTGGGGGAGGGAAATTTGGGGGGAAAACTGTCAAAGCCAAAGGGCTCTGTTGGTTGCTGCTGCCGTCTGGGCAGTAATATCGGGC